AAGCAAACGAGTGCGTTCTCTATAGGGACTGCTGAAGTTGCTGCCACCACCGAAGGCGGCACCATGATCACGTAAGTCTGAGCCTACTCCTGTCAAATATTCTTTTTCTTTTGAGCCCAATCAGAAGTTATCCCTGTAATTTACAAAAAGATGTTAACAGTGCTACTTAAGCATTGTTAAAATTGCTGACGCTGTACAGTATCTCTACCCCCCTGCTCTTTCAAATGTCCCCTTCAACCGTCCCTTCCCACTATCTCATCTGGGCCTTGAGTGCTCTTCTCTCCCGCCTGCCTTGTCCTAACCGCCTCCCTTGTGACTCCCTCCTCTCTCCCATGTCAGAGTCACAAGGGAGGTTGGAAGGGACGGGTGCGGTGCCCATGCCCATCAAGCTGAACGCCACCACCAGAGCAGAATGCCTCATCTAGGCCATCTGTGCTGCTCTGCTCCCCCCTCTGCCTCCCTGACCCTCTCCCCAAATCACCCTCTCCCCAAACCACCCTCTCCCCAAATCACCCTCTCCCCAAATCACCCTCTCCCACTTCTCAGGTTCACAGGGGAGGTGGGGACGGGCGCGGTGCCCATCAAGCTCAACCCCACCAACTACCTCATCTTCGCCTTCAGAACTGCTCTTCTGTCTGACCCCTTCAACCGTCCTTCTGCACTCTGCCCCACCTCAACCTCTCTCAACCCCTCCCAACCCCTCTCAACCCCTCTCCCCATTCTCAGGTTCACACGGGAAGTAGGCACGGGCGCGGTGCCCATCGTCCTGAACGCCACCAACTACCTCATATTCGCCTTCAGCAGCACGGCCTCCAAGACCCTCGCCTTCCATGCCTGGAACCAGTAAGCCCGCCCCGTGTTGTTACCATTGTTACCCTGGTAACCGCGGTAACTGCTGGTGAGAGGTGGTGTGAGTAGCTGCTGCTCAGCTCCTGCCATTTCAGCAGCACGGCCTCCTCCAAGACCCTCGCCTTCCATGCCTGGAACCAGTAAAGGACCTTGCTACCCTGGTAACCAGCAGGCGCTCTTGTTACTCTGGTAACCAGCAGGCTCCTCCGGTTCCTTCCTTTTTCTCCTCCCACCCAGGGGCGGCCTTGCCGTGGAATTCTCGTGCTTCAGGAAGCCCTACTCCCTGTGGGGCGGCGGGCCCGACTACTCATACTACTCTTAGCCAGCCTTTGACTCCCCCTCTCCTCTCCCTTCCCCCCTCCTCCCCCGTCTTCCATTTTCTCCTCCCGCCCAGGGGCGGGTCTTGCTGTGGATTCTCGTGCTTCAGGAAGCCTTCTTCCCTGTGGGGCGGCGGGCCCGACTACTCAGACGACTCCGACTACGACAGCAGCTTCCGCGCCGCAAGCGTCGAGGACCCATCGGCTGGTGCGGCTTTGAGCACCAGCAGCCACCAAAACAGCTTGCAAAGGCAGAAGCCTTTGGGCCAGCAACACCACAATGCTGCTGTTGCTGCTTCCGGGAATGGTTTGACAAATGCTGGGCTGGTGGGCCCGTAAGTCGGCCTTTTGGAAGGCCATTTTTGGAGGGTGATCAACGTGGCCCGTGATAGGATGGCTGGTGGGGTATGTTTTGAGAAATATTTCATCGATGTCTTAACCCAGCGTGGTTTGGCGCGGTGTAACTGTGTTGGAAGGCTGCAACGAATTGAGTGTTTGGGTTTGCATGTACATGCAGGGTTGGGTTTTTATCAGCCGCAGTAGAGAGCTAGGGGAAACCAAGGAGCCAATGAGTGCAGCCTTGGTGGCAAGGTGTACAAGGTTCCATAATTTATTTACCACAGGTAAAATTGGACAAGTTTTGAATTGTATGAGGCACCACGGTATGGGCAGTGTTGAGGCTGCTACAAATGGGGGCTGCAAATTCCGTAGCTGATCCCCCCTGCCTCCACCCAAAACCCTGGGAAACTTTCTGCCGCGGACTGTCCACGAAACTTTTCATACTTTCGTGGACAGGCCCTACTTTCATGGACACCACATCGAAGTTTTGCTTCTCCTGTGGACTCCCGTCAATACTTTCGTGGACTCCCGGCTTACTTCCATGGACACACCCATATTCGCAGTTAAAAAGGAGTATTCAGCAATGTACAAGTGATTACGGGCACAAAAATCGAGACACTCCAGAATATCTGTCCGTCGCAAGTAATCGCGAGCTACAGTGTCGGAAACCAGTTCTGAAACAGAATCTCGGAGCTTTTCTGGGAAGAGTTTGCAGCCGCACTCAAATATGCAGTGAATTTTCAAAAACAGGGTGTATTAGGGTCCGCGTGGTAAAAACACTTATTATTCAACTCAGAGCTACCCAACAAAACATAATATGCACGTGCTTGACGAGCCAGCATCAACCAGCAGTTGTTTTCTCCTTCATAATAAATAATTTCATTATTATTAATTCTGTGAAAAAAAACACCTAAGAAATATATTTTTTAGAATCACTTGTTTTTATTTGCATTAGTATTTTTCTCGTTCAAACATAAAAAACATATTCCTAAAAACGTGAATCTAAAATAGTTGTATCATTTTCTCATCTATTATTATTTTACTATGTACCGAAATTTTAATAATAATACAATCAAGACGTGAAACCTTCCATTTATATAATCATGTTCACCAAACGTTATTGGTATTCTGAGATTTCACATCTTAGTTGAAAATGCAAGCCAAGTACTAGTTGAAATATTTGTAAATGCCAGAATTCATGGTATTCCTGATTCTTGGTAGGCAGAGATTTTTAATGAGCTCTATTAATCTTGTAAGCGTAATATCTATCTTTATTCTACAACGTGATTTTTTTGTAGCGATATTTCACCAGGTCGGTCTGCTACACTTATCGTTCAACTAAAAGCGCTTCGTGACAGTCATTCAAATGAATTTTGAGGATCGCTTCAGAGTTTCTTTAAACACGCCGAAACAGCTAGCGGACTTGGTGGCTTGAAAATACTGTAGCTTGCGATTATTTGCGAGGGACTTGATTACGCCTAATTTTGCTTTTTTTCTCCTGTCAGCATCTGTACAGTTCTGTTTGTTTTTTTTGTTTCAAACTCGCGTGTGTCCATGGAAGTAAGCCTGGAGTCCACGAAAGTATTGACGGAGTCCACGGGAGATGTGAAAGTTCGATGTGGTGTCCATGAAAGTAGGGCCTGTCCACGAAAGTATGAAAAGTTTCGTGGACAGTCCGCGGCAGCAATTTTCCCCAAAACCCTCGAGTCGCTTCGTGATCGCTTGTGAATGCCTCGTGAGTGGGGGCATCGCCGCCAAAGCCCCCAACAGCCAATCACTCACGCACAATCGCCTCTGTTGCGCAGGTTTGGTGCTGGACTTCCAGGCTTATTATTGGTCGTCCGCATTTCTTATGCCCCTCTCCTCCTCAAACCATGCCTCCTAATTTGGCCCGTAGCGCCTCGTCGAGGCAAGCCTCAGCCAGCCAGAATTCTGACTTCTGAAATATCTTGCTACACCTGTTCTTCTATTTAGTCCTACTTTTTTTTCACGCGGCTTGAGCCTGTAAGCAGGAAATTGTAAAACATGGGCAAACGGGACTTTGAAGGGAAAATCCCACAGTAAGCAATGACACTTGGTTACAAAATCTCGCTCATGCACTAGATTGGTTGCCTGCGCAACCTTGAAGCTCTGAATCTCGCAATTGTCGAAATACAACTTGGTAGTTCGTTATCATTCAGACTGCAGCCAATCAGGTTCAGTGTCAATGCGAGTCATGCTGAGAAACTGGAAGGTGAGATTGCAATTTGGACTGTTCGAGGTGGGACCATAAATAGAAAAAGGTGTACAAAATGCTAATTTGCGACCCATTTGCCCGTGGCGAAACATGCGAAACTGTGAAGTCATGGGCGTATGGTGGATATCATTTGTACCATCACAGCAGCAGCGCACCCCCATGCAATACATATGACGTCCAATGAACCGCCCATTCGTCAGAGGCCCCCATGCACTCGTCAGTCCGACTGGCACGGATTTACAGGCAATGACCCGTCCTGGACTGGCCCAATTTTGGACGGCTCAACCACTTGCGACACTGCTAGGAGCGAACATGCAGAAGGAACAATTGTAGGTTGACTCGGAACCAGGGTGCGATTGTGCGACAGTTACTGGGGTACACGGGAGAAACAACGAATGTCTTCCGTGTTCCAAGGGTCCTGCCAAACGGGTAACCATGGTCCTACCTTGAGGCCCAATTTGCCAGCGATTTGAAGGCGTCCGTTACTGGAGTAACCGGCCAAAAAAAACTTGGGCCTCTTTCAGACCTCTAGTGTACCACAGCGCCTTATGCTGTTTGGCGTTTTCCTCCCTCAGCTGTCCCGGCCCCAGTTCGAGTCCAGAAATGTAATACCCCCCGAAACCAGGAGCGTGTTCAAAGTAACCGACGTAGAATTGATATCTGACGGCGGGATTCTTTGCCTGGGAAAGAGGGCCGACATCGGCTACTTTGAATGGGCGGTAAGAGGGAACACACCGTAAAAACGAGCCCCGGGAGCAAAGGTCGAAAACGCCGGCGCAGAACACTTGCCGTTGACATTCTACAGTATTGTCAACCGAATCCCCATCTGAAGTTCACTTATGTTTACTGTACCTTTAAAGCGAGGCAGCTTGAACTTCAACGCGGCCGAACATAATCAACGCTGGAAAACGGTTCATAAACATCGCGTTCTCTCTTCGGCTCGACACTCGTGCTGGTAGCAACCGCTGTTGTTTCGAGTGGAGCGCCGTTTGCTGCCTTGTGCTTGTTGCCGTAATTTGTGTCCCGTGCCGTGACTCCCGTCCCGTCCTCTCCTGTCCGACGGGAGTCTGTAGCGCAGTCTTCGCTGCGCAGGAGGTTCTTCCCGCTCCGCCGCGCGGCGCCTTCCACCATGGCCCGTCATTTCCTCGCGGTTCAGCTCGCGCTGCTCGTCACAGTCTCACACTCCTCCGCCGCCGCCGCCGCCGCGTCCGCCCCTCCCACGCCGCCGCCCGCTTCGTTCTTCCCCTTTCCCATTTCCTTCGGATCCATGGGCGGAAAGCCTTTCTTCGCCGGCACGCATACACCGCAGAAGCCGCCGCCAGCGGCGGCGCCGCGTACGGGAAAGCCTTGGAATCGGCGAACGGGAGTTGCGGCGGCGTGCAGCGAGTCGAGTCTGAGCGGCTTCACGTCATCGAAAACGCTCACGCCGGGGTAGGCGTCCAATTCGTGAAACAATCTGCAACGTGCAAATTACACAAGCAAATGGGGTTGGTTGAGGGCGTGTTCAGCGCGTACGTTTACAATTCACTTTATACGGTCCAATATGGTTTTTTAGAGTTTCAACGCGGTGAAGTTTGAAAACCGCTCCTGATCGCGATATATGAACCGTGATCCGTGTTCCTGTAAACTTACGCGCTGGACACGCCCTCAGAATGGTTTGGGTTTGGTTCTGAGTTCGGGTTGAGGTTTGGCTGGCGTGCCCAAGGTGATTGGTGCCTCGGAGCTGGTCCGGCAGTACCTCCATTAGTGAGATTGACGATCTGGAGTACAGTAGACAAATTGACGATTCGGAGTTATGGGCAGCGAAATAGCTGCGCCCGTGCTCTCGGCTCGAAACAAGCCGGACGCGATAAGAGCACACTTCTACGATAGGCTCCGGTAAGTGTATTATTTAGGCACAAAAATTTAGTCCTAGAGTTTTGGCGACGTTTCACGCTAACATTCACATTAGAAACTTGCACTTTTACATGTTACGAAGCCTGATTCAATCGAGTATATTTCGCCTGTCTCGCATTCCAGTCCCTTCCCCCGCATCCGGCATTTCGCCCTACATTTTTGCGTCCACATTCCTATGGCGCGAATTTTAGTTACTCTTGATTTTCCCGCACTTGGCTGTGTCCTTCCCGGGCCTTTCCCAACATCCCCCCACCTTCCCCCGCCTTCCCCTTTCCCTTCCCCTCCCCCTTTCCTCCCCCCCTCTCCCCCCCCCCTCCCCTCTTTCCCCCCTTCCCCCCGATGCCAGCCTGGTTCTCCACTGGAAGGCCACGTCAGGGACGACCGTAAATATGGCGCTGCAAGCCACGTCAGCCGCCGTTTCGGGCGGGTGGTTCGGCGTCGGCTGGTCGTCGGCCGGCAAGATGTACCCGTCCGACTGCGTCATCGCGAATAGCGAGCTCTACGGGGCTATTAACGCGTACACCATAGGGGACTACTCGCCAACGAGCATCATCCCCTTTGCGTCCTTCTCGCTCGGCTCGTCGCCCGCGTTATCCGGCGGCGTCGCCACGTACGTTCCTCTGTGTACGGTACATGTCCCTTTCCGCACCGTACGTTCTCTCTCCCCCCAGCTCCTGTCGCTCGCCGCATCTCAAGGCGCCTCGAAAAGCGTCGCCGCGGCTGCGTTTGAGAGAGTCACTCATGTCGCTCATGTTGCTCGTACCCTTCTGCGTTCTCTCTTAACCGTTGCCACTTACGTTGTCTCCCTTCCCCCCACTTTCTCCCCCTCCCTTCCCCCCACTTTCTCCCCCTCCCTTCCCCCCACTTTCTCCCCCTCCCTTCCCCCACTTTCTCCCCCTCCCTTCCCCCCACTTTCTCCCCCTTCCTTCCCCCCATCCCTCGTTCACTGCAGCTTCTCCCGGACGGTGGGCACGGGCGACAAGATATCATTCGTGAGCGGCCCCATGAAGACCATCTGGGCCTACTCCGACGGCCCTTCCACCGCCCTAGACGGCCACGCTGGCCACCGCGGCACCGTCACCATCGACTACTCCTGCGACGCCACTGCCACCCCTTCCCCGCCCCCCCCCTCCCCCCACGCCCTCTCCCCCGCCCCCCCGGGT